GAGTGATATATTTTATAAAAAGAATCACAACCTGCTTGATCTGCTTAGCATGAATAATTACATTTCTTGTTTTACCAATGGCATGAGACATATCATCTAAAGACTCAGATTTTGGAGATACAAAAATGCCATTAAGTATTTCATTTTGGCATCCCTTTTCATGTGATAAGAGAGACTGAATAATTCCAATCATTTACTGCTGTTTATCATTAAAACAACCTTGTCTTGTGGACAAGATTTAAGCCATTGTGTTTACTCTATAGTTGAGAAAGCAAACTCAGAGCCAGCAAAGACTTTCCCTAGAGCCAGGGTTACTAGATTCAAATTTTGTCTTACTCTTGTGTGCTACTCAGACATTGTCAAATAGTTTCAAATTTGAAGAAAATAAAAAATTTAGTGTTATTCAACTCACATCTTATGATATCTTTCCTATGGAAGGCACATTGACAGACATGATGTCAACTAAAAGTAAAACAAATGTTTTGCAAAATTAGAATTTCATATGAAATAGTTCTCACAATCTAACAGAAACAAGAGCTCTCTTAATGAGTCCAAACCACAAAAGAAAGAAAATAGGATTAGACTAATGCGTTCAATGAGTCATAAGCAACTGTAAGTTAACTGTACTGACACATTTTGGTAATAAATACAGAATATTTTTTTGCTTTTTGACAGCATTCCCCCAAAAGTTTGTGTCTATACACAGCCACAAAAAACTTGAAAAAATATGAAAGAATAAAGTCAAACAAATTGAAGCACTGTTTTATGGACAAAAATTATATTTTTTTCAGTTTTTAAATGGAGTTTAATTAATTCAATTGAATTTCATTTATAAATATAGCCCCATTGTATAAAACATGCTTAATATTCAGATAGTATAAAATACAGGATTTAATTTGTATCCTAGGTGCTGAAAATATTATTTTCTACCAATGGCTTTCAACTTTATTAAATTAATTAAAAGTGGCAATTTTTCTTCTTTCTTTGTCCCATTATGCCAACATTCCATATAGAAATTGCCCTTGATGATTTTTTAAAATCTCTGACACCTCCACATAACACCAATGGTTATCAAAAGACTTCTCAAATTTCATATTAAAGTAATTTTTCAAGGACATAATACTATAAGGATATTAGACTGTGCAAAAGTCTAATTTGTGGATCTAAAAAAGGTAGTCAATCTGGAAAATTGGGCAAAATTACTAAACACCATAAGTGTGAAGAATATAGAGTATCTTAATTGAGAAAGGACAGATGTTTTTCTATGAAAATAAGAATGCAAAAGGAGAAACATCTAGCACGATCATGCAGAGAGCAGTTCAAAGAACCACAAGCAAAGCACAATTAACTTTTGTTTCCTATTTGCAGGTTTTTTGGGCTTTGTGATATATTTAAATATCTGCAATTAATAAATGTTCCTGGTGGTAATTTCTATTTCATAGATAAGTTTCCTTGACTATCCTCCAAATACCTTTCCATCTGTATTAAATTTTAATGTAATTCTGGAATTTAATTTCTAGATAATTTTACTAATAATTGTTTATTCACTTTCATTAAGAAGGAGAAGGGAATGATTGAATCGCTAACTAAAGTTGCACCTTAAAAATTTTAAATCTCATAAACAGGATGTTTAAAATGCACAAAACAAAGCCTTTACATCATACATGTATGTGTGTTCATCAAAGCACATTGAACATCCACTCTACGGTAAGCCCTCACCCTAGTCTTGGGGAGAAAGAAATCCAATCACAACATCATTAGATAGTTTCAAAATGGTTTCACCAGAGTAGAGCACAGAGGATGTGATCTCTTTATGAAGCCTGTGATTTTTATTAAATGTTGCCAAAGGAAGTGATTATTGAAAAATAGGAGTTAGGAAAGAAGACAGATGAATAAAGAGATTTCTAGTAAAGATAATATCAAGCATAAATGCATGGTGGTTTTGTAGAGTTTTTGATATTTTCAATGACAGTGTTTAAGATAGCTTTCCTAGGGATGGGGGTGTGTGACTAGCTTACTGTTGACAATTAGGGTCAAGAATTACGCAGAACATTACCTTGAGAAAGACCATGCCAAGACTTTGAAATGTATTGAAAAGGAGATGGGAGGTCATGTAAGCATTTCATAAAACAGAACAATAAGTTCATATTGGTAGTGAGTAAAATAGATTGAAGAGATGGAAACTAGGAGTACAAACATTGGTTAGTAGGTGAATTAAGAAAGATCTTTCTTGTATTTCAATTGCTAGAAATTTATAATTTATATTAGATTAAGGGGAATAAAATAATGAAACTAGAAAGTTTAAGGGCAGTTTAATTCAAAGACTAGCAATAGCATCAAGATGGGTTTTCTCTCTTTTATATGTTGGTTAAGTTGTCAATTATTTCTGCATTTAAAAAAACACCCCCCAAACTTAGTGTCTAATAGAATAAACATTTATACAACTGGTGATCATGTAAATCAGTAATTTGGTTTGGCTAGCTGGGCAGTTCTCATCTAAGCTGACCTCACCTTTTTATCATCGTCTGTTGTCAGTCGGCACTATAGCTGTCTATGCTTCTTAGAGTTTGCTGTGTGTAAACTGAGGCTACAGTAATGACTGGACCATGTGTCATTTATCATTCAACAAGCTAAACCCTAGATTTGCTTGGTTGCCAGGGCTCGAAGAGCAAGTACAGAATGCAAGGTATCCTGAGGCCTAGGTTTAGGCTTGAAACTAGTCCACTGACACTCCTGCCATATTCCATTGGTCAAAGAAAGTCACTAGACTAGCTTAGATTCAATGAGTGAGGGAATTTGACTTGCATTGACAGCGAGGGATACAAAGTTATATTACAATAAGAAATAGACACAGGGAAGAACTTAATTTTATTTGCATTTGTGCGAATAAAAAAAGTACTACAGTTAGTTTCTCCATCTCTGAGTGGTGTTCCTGCCACCTTTTATATCATCTTCCAACAATAGTAAATTGAATGTCAAAGTTCTTGCTGCAAAATTTTTCATCTCTGAATGGAATGAAAAAAGACAAATTGTTTTTAAGTATTTCTCTAGAAAGAAAAGAATGATTTTCCACCTTCTTCTTACAAAATTCCAGAGTTTTGTTTCATGAAAGCTATTTCAGCACATATGTTTATGTCTGAATCAGACTTTTATCTCTCAAGTGTGGGTTGTGTACTTCTCTTTTAAACAAGATAGCAGTGAGGTTGGGGAAATATCCTAAATCCATGGACTGAATAGCACAGCGTTAGATCTTTAGTGAAAACTTAAGTTTTTTTTTTTTGTTGTTTGTTTGTTTTTCCCGAATATAGGAGAATGGAAACCAAACAGGAAAATAGAAAATATCTACTAAGTAATGCAGTGGAGAAATTCTTAATTTCTGTGTTTTTTATTTATGATCATTTCCATTCTTTTATTCAATTTGTGAGAGTAATAGAAGCACCCGGTATAATTTATACCTGCAATTAGGAGGTTTGTTCTGAGATTCTATGTTGGCATTTTTAATCACACTCTTGTTTGACCTATAGTGTTGTCTTTGCTATATATTCATAAATGACAAGTCTTTGAGCCTTAATCATTTAATAATAAGTGGAAACACATTTGCAAGGGTAAGGATCTCTTGCTTCATAAAGAGCCTCTGCTTCTTATCTGAAACATATGTTTCATATTTTCCTTTGTTTGGCTTTCTTGCCAGACCATAACTGTACTTTGCAGATGGTCCTAGGTCTCTGACTTTTAAATTCCAATTTGTTGATATGCTGATCTATGCTGATTTGTACTTTTCTTTGAGGACATGATACCCTACACCTAAACTCAGTTCATAGATTTCTATTTCTTTCTTACCACTGACATTTAAAAGGGATAGAGACTATCAGGGTTTTATAGTACACTCGCCCTTTAGGCTCATGTTTAGAATTTTTTGGATCTTTCATACCTGAGCTAGAAATAAAAGTTCATCCACTATTTTAATTTCTCGAATCCTAAAATCACACTAAATTCCTATCACTTACAACAATGCATTCTGCATAGCAAGTGTTCAGTAAATGTCTGAAGAATTGACTTACCCAAAGAGTTCAGGCCTATAAAAAATGGCTCATGATTCCACTCCATGAAGTTACTAATAATCCTTCACTGCTACAAACGGCATACTTTGTTTAATCTTTAGTGATAATACATGTTGAGTGATAGAAGATACATGCTAAAACGCACTATTTTTAAAAATGAATTCAGCAATTGATGTGATATGATATCAACATTTAATCTCCATGTATGATTTCCTTAATGAACATTATTTATGGTAATATATTTTGGCCCTATGAGATATATTTCTATCTAAAGTCGTATGTGTTTCGTGTTTTGATTTTGCTTTTATTTCATTGTAATGCTATATTTGATATTACCTAAATACAGTTGTGCCTCAGTATTCATGGAGGATTTGTTCCAGTACCTCTGTGGATGACAAAATCCACATATGCTAAAATCTCTGATAAAAAAAAAAAATGACATGGTATTTGCATATAATCTATGCACATTCTTTTGCATACTTAATCATCTCAAGATTACTTATACCTAATGCAATGTAAATGCTATGTAAATAGTTGTTATACTGTATTGTTTAGGAAATAATAACAAGAAAAAAATGTCTGTATGTGTTCAGTAGAGATGCAATTTTTTTTTCAAATATTTTTGATTCACGGTGGTTGAATCTATGGATGTAGAACCTATGAATATGGAGGGAGGACTGAATTATTAAGCTTTCATATGCTATGCTTGGATAGCTCTTTTTTTTGAAAATGGAGCTCTCAAAACATTTTTCTATATAGCTTTCTAATTTCAGTTCTGTTTTTATTTTTAATTGAATGTTCTGTTTTGATGTCTATTCTTCATTAATGATCCATAAGTTACATGAAGCAGGGGCTTTATTTGCTATATTTTGCTCATTATTTTTATACATAATGCACAAACTAACTCACTCATCAAGTATTCATTGATTTTTTTATTAGGTGTCAAGACCTATGCTAGATGATGGGAAGAGAGCCAAAAGCAAGGTAGGCATTCCTTGGTCCTTGTAAGTTTCTAAAATAACAAGACTACAGTGTTCCTGGTGCTATCTAAATGAAGGATAATATGACTAAGCCTCTTTCCTTGAAAGACTCTAACATGTGAATGGACAATTACCATGCCCTACCCTATGAGTTTATGGAGTTATGTGAAAATGTTTTCCTGTCACAGAGAAATAAATAGTTTATTGTGAGCCTGAGGAAGTCAATAGGAGAGTGAAAAATGCTATCTTGAAAATACATATAGACTTTGCCAACTAAGACAAGGCAGAGAATATCACCACAATAAATTGGGCACACATATATCGCTCTTTGTATGTGTGGGCATTGAATGCATTTTTGAGGACTTAGTTTAATGAGATGTGACTAGTAACAAGGTCAGTAAATTTGTGAGCAGCCAGGCAGGGGTGGGGAACCTACGGCCTTGGGGCCACAGGTGGCCTTCTGGATCCTTGAGTCCAGCCTTTTCACTGAATCCAAATTTTACAAAACAAATCCTTTTAATAAAGAGTTTTGTTCTGTGAGGTGTGGTCGAGGGGCCACACTTGGGGATCTGGAAGGCCACATGTGGCCTTGAGGGCACATGTTCATGGAATTTACCCTGACATTGATGTGGGACTTTTAAAGGAAATGTGCTTTTCATAATAGAAACTGAATAGATATTATAAAACATATGCTCTTGATAAATCATTAGAGAGTTAACAACCCCATCCTCTATTACTAACACCTGTGTAGATGAAAGAAAATATATTCTACTTAAGGAGTTTCTACCAAGTAAAACAAAAGCAATAAGAAAAAAATTCGAATATTTGATGTAAAGCAGTGTTAATTACAAATTGAGAAAATATAATTGGCAACAAATATACCGGTAACTACCCATTTTTTACTGATTATTTCAGATATTAAAACTATTTAAGACTTTATTGGAATAAATACCCACAATAACCTAAGTTAAGATCAAGTTAGGAGAGAACAGAATGGAAAGTCATGAATTAGCAATGGAAATAACAGGGAAAAAATGAAGGAAATCACTGTGGCTAGTAAATGATAATATGGATAATACTTATGTGATATTGAACCAGTGCTCCTTGGATCATTAATCCACATATTTCCAGCTTTCCACACCCATTAAAATCAATGCTTCCACTGCTTCAGGGCATCAAGCTCAGACAAATGGTCCATTGCTTATGTCTGAATTTTAAATTTTATAGACAGATTTGTCTACAGTGAATCAATTGTATTGAAAGCAGGCTCTGTGGAGAAAAAAACCAGAGTTTTCAATATTACAAAATCTTCTCTTAATAATTGAGAGACAAGAGCCATATACCAGGCAAAAAATTAAATATAACATAAGGGGATTTGTAATTCAATAGCAAGAGAAAATCCCTTCCAGTTCTGGATGTTGAAAATAGGAGAGAAATGAGAAATCGAAAGGGTCTATTACATCTACCACCTACGCCTATGATCAATTTTGTGGATTGCCAATTTTTTCTGTGCTCATTGGGCAGTTTTTGTGCTGGCTTTAGGCTAGATTCACTCACGCATTTGCCTTCAGCCTGTGTTTGAAGGCCTCATTTTTGTATCTGACAGTTGGCTGGCAATTTGTTGCCTGTTGGCCCAGGGACAGAAGAGCTAGGCCATATGCCTCAGATCGTGTAGCAAACTAGCCTGGATTCATGCACATAGTGGTGGTTGCAGAGTTCCCATGAGCATAAAGAGTGGAAATTATAAGGTTTCTTGAGACTTAAGACCATCATTTTCCATTTCTATTGACCAAAGCAAGTAACAAGGCCAGCCCAGATTCATGTTTTAGAAAAACAGACTCTACCTCTCACTGGACAAAGCTAGAAAATATTATAGCTATTTTTCTCGATGTTGTATAAAGGCATTCTTAGTGGAGTCAGCAAATACCCAAAAGAGAACACAGGTTCCCCGCACCTCCCAATACATCAAAAACATCAAACCTAGTCCAGCTGCTGAGTAGATTAACACAAATCCCCACACCAAAGTCAAGTATAAGGAAAGATGTGCTCATGTATAAAGATTTAAAAAATAATGATATTTACTTAGCATTTACTGCCCTATAAAAAATGTACTATGTTAAAGAAAAGAAGATTGTGGGCCATATAAAAACATGAGAATCCCAAACAAAACACATCTATAACTAACATCATATTAAATGGTGAAAGATCGGATGCTTTTCTTCTAAATCTAGTAATAAAGTGAAGAAGATCTCTCACCACTCCCATTCAACATCACAGTGGAAATCTTAGCAAGTGCAGCGACAATAGGAAAAGAAAGAAAACAGACACATTGGAAAACAAGAGTAAAGACTGTCTCAATTTGCATATGGCATGTTGATTTATGTAGAAAATTCACCCCTCTCCAATCTCTAGAAAACACACCTAGAGCTTAAAAAGAAAAACAAAAAACAACAAAAAACAAAATTCCACAGGCTATTAGGGGTAACCCAGAGTATAATGCAAATTATAACAAATATATCTATTAAAAATACATGACACTATGAAAGAGATAAGGAAAGTAGGAGCTAACCTAAATAACTTTGGAAAAGAATGTTTTGTCAAAATACCTAAGGCTAACAGCAAAAATAACTAGACATAAATACTCTAATATATTTGTACATGTATCTGTCACCAGGGTGATATTTAGCAATTATGAAATAACTTTATATTTATCCTGATGTTAAATAAGTGAACACAATAGAAGTACTGAGTGCTAGAATCCTCACTGTCACAGATAGACACGACAAGTAAGGAGACTGCTAGAATAAATTGTGTGGTGCTAGATTAGAGTCAGCAATATCTAAACTCTTAGTTATTTTAAACTCTTAGTTATTTTAAAATATATGTAGATATAAAACATATTGAAATACATGTATATAAATTTTTTTGTGTACATACATATTTTCTATAATTCCATTTTCTTAGAATACCTAGAAGCAGCGATGCCCCAGTGGCAATGAGCATACTTAAAACCTAGATCAAGGCTTCTAAATCTTCTATCATTCTCTAATAAAAGAAAACAAATGACTCCTTGCAGAAAAAATTGGTTACAGAGTTTTGGCAGGGGCAATACAAACTGAGCATGAGTCTGGATCTTCTTGAATTGCCAGGAAATAAAATGGTTTTGTTTCTTTTAAAAATAAAAATGGTAAGTTTATTGGGATGTAAGAGCCAACTAAAAAGTATTTCCAAAAAGCAGAGCTGGAAAAAAAACTATAAAATAAATATCAAAAGTATTTGATTATGACCAATGATCAGACAATAGCATTCTAGATACATGATTTAAAAAATGATTTTTAATTAAAATCAATAAAAAATGGTTTGAGAAGGAATAAAAAAGAAACAAAGAAACTAGAAGAGTCAAAATAACCTGTAATTTTAAATATGTCTACACCTTTCCTGTCATTTGTGACTAGAAAATAAACAGGGAAATGAGCAAGATGAGAGCAATTATAATTTTTTTTTTTCACTTTTGAGTTGTGATGTGTAAAATTTCACTATACAGTCTTGGATCCGGGGCTTTAAATAGGCACAAGGGGATGGTTGTATCTCTAACACAAAAGATATTCCAAACATATTTGACACTAAGCTTGCAGTTGGGAAAGCTGGCCTTCCCCTCCCCCCTTTCTTTTTTTTACTCTTTCTCTTTGCTACTGTGTGAATAGAGATGATTTTATTGATAGCTCTTAAACTCAGCAAGATAATGGTCCCTTTGTTATTTCTCAAAAAGCCCACTGGTAAGACTATGTAGGGGATTTCTTGGGTAAAAAAAGAATAACATTTGTTTTTGTGTGTACGTTCCCTGGGATTTGAATAAATTCTGGAAAAAGGGAAAACTATTAAAAACCAGTCTGTGTGGTTTTTATTTCCCCAATGTTCCCCACGATCTGTGTCACTATAGTGCCTGCAACTCCACGAAGGATACTGAAATTTTATATTGTACTTATTTGAAAATCTGTGTGGCTGCCTTTGAGAATACAACATTTGGTGATGCTGAAAACATTATGTAAAAATATACATATCCTTAGTGCTGTTTAATATCATTTCTTTCTACCAACATACATAAAATACGTTAAAGTGTTACATGATTCCCACCTAATTTTAATAATTAGAGTAACATAAAATAACTGTTTTTAAATCATTTATGCAACATAATAAAAACAAAAAGTAATGCAGTTATGGTGACATGACTGGTACCAGAGAGTTCATTGGAAATGACAAAAAGAATTTGGTATTAGAGTGGGATTTCTTTCAAAAAATAAGTTGACTTAATTTTTTTTAAAAGCACTATAATACCATTTTCTCTGATTTAATCAAAGGATCTTATAGGAAAACATCTGTTTCTGATGTTATTATGTCTGTTTTTCATTTGGTCTAAAGTCATTAGAGCGCTGAATACCTCAGGCAGTCTGTAAAAAGTGGTATATGTGAATGATACAGTGTAATCTTTGGAAATCATTCATCCATGCAAAATAGCAGGTGACGGAAAACTCTTTCAGAATTCAGATAAAAGGACACACAATCTTCTCATGATGCATTTGATGTAAACCAAAAGTCAGGATGTATACCAGCTTGTCAGTTGAAAACTTAATGATTTGTTTGGTCTTCTTTCTACAGATGTTTACCATTTTAATCAAAGAAATATCTTCAAACTTGGTTGGAATATTCTACATCATGGCTCAGCTCAAAGAGCTGGGCAGTCAAGTTAGAAGATATAAATCTCATCTTGATTCAATATAGCTTCTTGTCCTTGAAGACTTTTCTCAAGTCCTCTCAGTTTTAGATTACTCATCTGTAGACCGAAGAAAGAAATAATGTCATAATATGTTAAAATAATAATTAGAGGAAATGAATGATAAGAAAGAGTTAATACAACATAAAACATTATCTAGTCATAAAAATATGTTATCTTAGTCTAAACTAAAGCTTCTAAGGTTACAAATCTAACTTAATTATGGACACTAC